TAAATCAGTCTTACAGAGTTAAGTTCCTTACTCGGAGTCAGATAATTGAGTAACACAGAACCCAAGTATTCTGCCTCAGAGCTGGTTTCTGCTATATGTGTTGTATTATACCAGAGTGAAATCTCAAGATACAAGATTAGAGAATCTGCTGTGGACCAATGAAAGGCAAGGAATATGGATGAAAAACTCCTGAGATCTACAACTATTTCTAACTTAATAACAGAAAAAATTTAGTACTTACCAAAGTATATGGAGCATCTACTTATGTCTAGCTCAAAGACTACTGGAGTAGACAAAGAATGTAAATGATTTTTAATCAATGTGAAGAAAACTGTAAGAATGATCCCAAGAGCAAAGATCTCAGCAAATTCTGGAAACCAGTTATTCAGAAAGACTGCCATTTGGGAGCAACAAGTTATGAAATTAGCAAGAGGAAGTTAGGCAGAGGACAGGTAAAGCTAAAGGATGTGAAAACACTGATGACGCCATGTTCAATTCCAACATTTCTCCTGTAAGAAAGGAGTTTTGCTATATTTTTCAGGTATAAATGTAAACAAATCGAAATTTTCATCAGTACCCTCAAAAAGGCAGCCTAAAAAAAGATGCTGCATCATCACAGTTAATATGTATGTGCCATGCTCGGTCCTAAAAGTTTTTTATATATACTAATTCATTTAATCATCACAACTACTCTGTAAAATAGGCACTCATTACACTTCACTTTACAGGTAAGGAACTAACACAGTTTATCCAAGGTTACATACACAATCATTAGCTGAGCCAGGATTTGAATGGAAAGTCATGCTTTCCTTAGTTCTTAATCACTGTGTTACACTGCAGAAAAAGAGTGCCTTTTCCAAATCCAAGTGCAGGTCATGCTAAGTCTCACCTAATCCTGCACACTTGATTTTTAATACGGGACCAAACAAAATGCAAACAATAAGTAAATATAAAGAACTGGCATAGCAAAACCCACTAACCAATTATTGTGAATTTTTCACAGTATATGAACATTTTCAGAAATTATACTTTGAACATAACCATTCTTGCAGCTTTTACAGCTTTATCTAAAATACTAACTTATCAGGAAACACAAACAACACACTTAGGTTTATTTCTGAAAATGAGAACCCAGTTTTAGTTAAATGTTTCCACAGGGATTAACCAAGACGACTTTAAACAACCAGGATCTTGCACTAGAATCTGAATGTCAAGAAATGAACTCAGTCAGCAGGCAACAATAGATTCCCAGTTTGTTTTACACAAAAACAATCTCTCTTTCGAAGTTCTTACACTACAAACAATTGTGATACTAAGGGTCTGAAAAAAGGTAAATAAGAAAAATGGAAAACATTTAAGCCCCTAAGACAAAGAACTATATTTAAAAAAAAAAAACCTAAATATAACTCTTTCTCCTGTACAAAGGGTCCTCTTAAAACAATAAATATACATATATTTTAAATTAACTCTTACCTAGTCAAAATTATCCTGTCTTTAATTCTTATTCTGCCTGTTGAGAAGGGACAAAGGATTACTTCAAACAAGTCACCAATCATTCTTTAATTTGCACAACAGCTACCCTTGAGCTACCTGAATTTTGCTCACACTCCAACATATCAGTGGCTCTGAGAATTTAAAAACAAAAAGACTCCGAAGACTGTTCTCTGAAATTTAGTTTCTGAGACTAAAAGTTAGTACAGATTCCTAAAAACCAAGGAATGTGGCACAAATTTTAAAAGTTAAAGTAAGAAAAATCCTCACTATTCAAAACAGGAATAACAGTATTCAATGAATTAAGAACAAAGAATAAGTTATGGTTTCTTAATCACAGAACCACAACAATTTTCTACACCATCGAAAAACTTGTCATAAAACACTGATATCATATACTCATGATGAGACATGAGCCTTAACTTGCTAAAAGCCAGAAAAAAGTACACACCAAGTATTTTGGAGTTTAATCAAAATTTATGATTTGACTTCTCCTTTCATGCAGATCTGGAAACAATCTTATCAATATATCCAATGAACTCTGTATTTAGAAGCAGCATGGGCAGAAAAGTGCTTAAAGTAAATGAATCATTCTTGAATCGCAGTGTATAATTATGTTTTATTAAAGCAACTAAGCTATGTTTCTTTAAAACAAAAAACAAACCCTCCCGAAAATAGGCAATGTAAATTCTGTAAAGTCCAGCAGTAACAACATTTTCTGATCAAGCCAAAAGAGAAGTAAAATTAAGGCACATCACCAGCCTAGTAAAACCAGGTAAGGAAATATGCATCTTAATAAATCTCCGTTATCACTTAAGATCCTGTAGTATCAAAGTACTACCCACATATTAAAAGTCAGTATTTGTTTTAACAGATAACTATGCCTATTGTGACTCTAAAAATAGGCCTGATGGAAACAAATTTGACTTGCATACCACACTCACCCATCCTTCATCCCCAAAAGCCTATTTATTTCTCCATTTGAAGTGATAAAATCACTACCCATATCGTAAGCCTGGAATCTGCCAGAGTTACAGGATCAGATTTCTCCAAAAATCTGACAGTAACTTCCACATCAAAACAGGACTGCTTGATTTGAGATTTACTAATTAACCATCTACTAGACTACAAATACTTTAACATTTCTCAAATTATTAGATCCTAACCAGTTAATTTTATTCCTTATCAACCAAAGCAAGCCATTTACAAGTAACTCTATAACTTCAGGTTCTTCATTTATCAAATAAGAAGCTGGGCAGAACAGACTAAGATTTCTTCCAGTTTTATAAATACATATCTTTAAGTCAACAACTTAACACAATATTTCTCCAGTCTTCCTACAGAAAAATTTGTAGTAAGTATACATTTAGTGGAAAAAGGTTTTTTTTTTCCCCCAATGATTTAGTAATCCTTTGGCTTGTCCTTTAATTTAGATCCAAAGACAATAACTCAAACACTAACCTACTGAGTAGGTTGTTAGGCAAGTGTTTTGGCCAAAACATCATAAATACTGTCCAACTACTGCTATAAAAGATCTTGGGACTAAGATAATCACATTTTAAAAACAAAAATGAAAAACTGTAGAAGTAGGATCATATAAGGAAGGTTCCAAAGCAGGGTACCACTCAATGCATTTTCATTTGGTTCTCCAGCCAAATCCCAAACTAGCATAAAAATAATATGGCAATGGTACACATAGAAGATATTCTTTTGTTTAACCATGACCATGCCTAAAGAACAAAAATCATAAATTCATGAATTCCAGGAAAAAAATGAGAAGCTTAGACAAAATTATCATGACATTAGACAAATTGAGGTTTTTTCCCCTACTGTATCATTAGTTTCAAGATAATAAACTATCTGAAGATTCCAGGTGACAAAAAAAATATACACATTCTGAGAAGTCTTAAAAGTTAAAAATTGAAACTAACAAAATTAATCCATAAAGTGCTCAACACTTACTTGGATCTAGTCTTGAGAGTAAGTTAACTAAATTGAGAGGGAAAAATTATTAAAAAGCACCTATTCAAATATCAAACTATAAAAAAATACAAACCAGGATCAGTAGCAATAAGCACCTTAGGTATTAAAAAAAGTAACAGGTGTTTGTTTGCCTGTAACTAAAACTCTGCCTGTAAACCAAAACAAATCAGACTTAAATTTCTGAGAAAGAATGACCAAGAAATAAAGTTCTAATTTGACAATTAAAAAAAAGTCTACCACCTTCCCAACCCTAAAACACTACAAAATTGACTAGTTTTTATTTCACAATGCCTTTAGAAGTTCTGTATCACTAACTATAAAACCTAAGAAATTATACTCCTAAAAAACTTACCAGTTTTTTAAGTTTACTTCCTTCCACATGTTAATTTTCCTTCACACTTCATATGACCTTGGTCATTTGGAAGGTGACATTTAAAAGGTTAAATGTTAACATATTGGTTCACGGATAATAGATAAATTCCTAGATCACTCAGGTACTTTCATATCCTATTTCAGCTTGGTTCATTTCCTTTGCCAGAAGAATATGGATACTGGCATTTTTCACATATAATATCAGCGGTTTTTTCATTCAGTTCAATTCCGCTTCTTCCAATAACCTATGTGAACACACATAGGTGAGGACAACTTCAGTCAAGCTGCTACAGATCAAGCAACAAGTAGCCCAAACCCCGTTATATCCTTGTCAACCAGGATGACACACCATTATTTACACCATGAAAATCTCCTAGAGGTTAAAATTGAAGCCTTTGTCACTCCTTTGTACCCTTGAGAAAGTTTAGCTTAAAAATCTTTCACAAGATTAAAACAACGATAATGACATTACAACTCTCAAAGCACACACACAATTTTACATAAGCTCCTGTATTACACACAGTACAGCCGAGTGGGCTAAAGACACACTAGTTTTAATAACAACGTCAGCTCACGGTTATCAAACACTTGCTTCAACATCATTAGGTGGAACGATATCAAACACCCACTGTAACTCTCTAGTCTCAAACTATTCAGGGAAGGAAGCCTTTTTTAGTTTATATATGCCGGTGCGACCACCAACTAAGACACGTCGAAAAGGTCATTCATGAACAAGGTCGTTCTTAATTTAAAAAGACAGCCTGTTCTCAGGAATGGAAACACGCATCTAACACACCAGCAGCTCATCGTTGCAGATCTCTGATGAACACAAGGCAAGAGGACTGTACTTTCCGAACTCAAAAACTTCCCCGCTCTTTTCGTTTCCTGCCAGACGCTAAAACAATGACGAGGAGGCAATGCGCTGGTATCCGGATGACTTTCACCACTCCTTCCCTAGAAGCGAATCTCTAGCTACAAATACTAACGCCTCACCTGTCCCAACACCCCAAATCCTGGTGACTCTTTCGAAAGTTGGCCTCCCCCCACTCGCAGGGAACAGTTAAAAGGAAGACACGTAAAGGGATCATTCGGCCCAGTGGCCGAACCAAATGAGGGACCCACAGCACTGTAAGAGAAAGAAGGTGGGGGCATACCTGCAGCTCACACCAGGCGACCTCCACGGTCGTCTCGGTGTCCAGACCCTTGTAGACCGTCTTAAAGGAGCCCCTGCCGATCTCGATGTCAAACTTGAGAAAGCGGCCGTCGTTGGACATGCCCACGGCCTTGGTCTCCAGCTCCTCGATGTCATCCTGCTGCTGGCTCCGTTCCTCCTGGGGCTCCTTGGCGCTGCCGCCGCCGCTGCCACTTCTAGACGACGGAGGCTCCTCTCGGCTCCCCACGGGGCCGGGCTGGACAGCCTGGCGGTCTGCGCCCGCGCTACCCGGGGCCGAAGAGGTGGCCGGCCCCGCGGCGACCGGCTCTTCGCGGGCGGCGGCGGCGGCGGCGGGCGGCTGCTGGGCCACCTGGGCGGCGGCAGCGGGGGTCAGGGTCTCCTCGCGCGGGGGCTCCGGGGGGCTCCGCTGCGGGACCACGGCAGCCGCGCCGGGCTGGGGCAGCGGCAGAGGGAGGCCGGGCAGCTCCAGCGCCGTAGCGTTGGAGTCGCAGATGACGCTGCGGCGGAAGAAACGGTGCTCCGTGGTGGTGGTCGCGGCCGCCCCCCGGCTGTCCTTGTCCATGGTATGGCGGCGACGCCGGTACTCCTCCGTCCGTCCGGCTGCGGCGTCGGCCGCCGCGGCGCCCAGTTTCTCCCCCACCGAGGAGTCCGAGCTGGAGCCATTCTTGGGGGCAGGCGCCGGCGGCGAGAGGAAGAGAGAGCCCGGCGCGCTGCTCTGCTGGTCGGCGGCGCCGCCAGACATGGTGGGAGCGGGAGCGAGGCGGGCGGCTCGAGTTCGCGGAAGAAGCGGGCCGGCCCGGGGCGGCGGGGCGACGGCCCCTCACTCGGCACTGACTCGGCGGCCCGAGCGGGAGGCGGGCCCGCGGGCCCGGCTGCGGCGGCCGCTGCGGCTCTCGAGGCGCGCTTGTCGGGGGCGGCGGCGGGGCGGAGGCACGGGGGCTGGCGCCTCACGGCCCGCACCCATCGTGCGGCAAGCGGCGGACGGGCGGGCTGGAGCGCCGAGGGCGCGCGGTCATGGGGGCGGCGCGGCGGCCCGCACCGAGTCAAGGAGGCGGCGGCTGGCTCTCCACCGCCGCGGCCCGGGGCGGGTTGGACCCCCGAGCGGCGGCCGCTCGGCGCGGAGGCGGACGAGGCCGCGCTGGGGCTCGCGGCCAGGCGGGCGGCCGCTCCTCCTCTCCGCCCTGTTGGACGGCCTCAGAGGCCGCCCATTGCCCGACGCGAGGGGCCGAAGCGCGACACGGAGGAGCGGCCCCCGGCCCCGGGCCTCACCGCCCGCCCCGGGCCGGGCGGACCCCTTCCTCTCCGGGCCGGGGCCGGGGGCTAACGGAGGGAGAGCCGGTAGGGGAGGGCCCGAGCCCGGTGCTCCTCCGAGCCGAGGAGGGCCGGGAGAAGTAAGGCCAGTCACCCGGTCGGACGCCTTCTGTCACGGAGATGAGTGCAGACAGGCCGCGGAAGAAGAGCCGCGTCCGCCGGCGAAACTCCGCGCTAAATGGCGCCGGGAATCTGAAGCCTCCACACAGCCCGCTCGTGCCCCGCCCCCCGCCGCCCGGGGCGCCCCACCCCCACTCCGCTCTCGGGGCTCTCGCGCAGGCTGTCTCGCCTCGAGACCCTCTGGGACTTGTAGTTGACACCTTGAGTAATGAAAGGGACAGAGCAGGAAGGCGCCTACGACTCCCGTGATGCCCTGCGGTGGCTTAGCCTGAGGCCCCACGGGAGCTGTAGTTCCTTTTCAAACCGCCTCTTCTGGAAGGCGGATGGGAGCGTCACCGCGGGTCGCTAAGCCTTATCCTTTAGTGGGCGCTAGCTAGGAAAAGCATGACTTAGGCATTAATTGTGGAAGAAGGGAAGAGAAAACAGGAGAAGGACTCAGAAAGAGGGGAGAGGCTCCCACCATGCTGTGCTGAGGCGAGAGCGAGCTCTTGGGACTGCTATGGATGGAAAACGAGCTGCTGTTCCTATTTAAGTACGGTGTCGCGACCGGAGCGTGGACGGAGAGCCGGGTGGAGCCGGACCCCTTCGCTCGGGCCACAGACTTTGTGCATAACACTGATTGGCTGGGGGAGGGGGGAAGCTTCCTTCCATGGCACTTAAGGCCGCATCCTGGGCTCGAAGCCCAGGACAGATCCTCTGACTCGCAGAGACAGGCCGCCCCACTGCAGTCAAGGGTCACAGCGAACTCCGCCCGGAAAAAGCGCACAGCGCTCGGGAGGGGGTGGCTTCGAGAAGAAACGAGGTCTACGTATCTTTGCGGCTTTTACCACAAACTTGAGGGAGCTGAGTTGACTTGGATGAAACTTAATGTGCTCCTGTCTCTCTTGGTGCTTAGTAAAAAACAGCCTCCCTCTTCCTCTGGAGGTGCCTGAGTGTGCCCGTGTGATCGACACCCCGGCTTTGGACGTGCGGCTTTCTCGAAAGCATCCTCGGGCTCCCTGGACCCCTTGCTCTGCGCAGCCGCTACTCAAGATGGTGCAGGTGATGAGCACCAGGGGGCACCCGACGGAGCAGGAAGCCGGACCCAGACGGCGGTTGAAAGTCTTAAGCCCAACGGTAGGAGCGGGAAGCGCTGAAACGTGCGCAACCGCTCCGAGCGCGCGTGCGCTCCGCCCGGGCTCCAGCTCCGGCCCCCAGCCCACCGCGGACCCACTCCGGAGCGCACGGGCCGCGCGGCCACATTGGAAAAGCAGCGGTTGGAAGCAGCCGGACGGAAGATTCGTTAGCGCTTCGTTTCCTAGCAAATGCCCAAAGCTAGCTGCATGAGCTCCACTTAAGAGAAGTCTGGCTCTACAATCCAGAGCAATTTATCTGATACGTAGAACAGTTACACTATTTTTTAAATGTTTTTAATCAAAAGCTACCCTGTAGGTATACAAAAAAGTTTAAAACCAGGGCTTGTTAGGTTTCATGAAGCTAGCAGATTATCAGCATTTTAAAACACAGTTCAGTAGGGGCCACTGAAGTCTTAGTGTTCAAATTCCATTGTTTTAGAGACTATCCCCTTCTCTCGTTTGCTGTGGTAATGGTAAATATCATTACGGTGTATTAAGTGGTTTGTCTTCATTTGTAAACTTGGTGCAAAGGGGAGAAATGCCTCTTGCATGGGACTTCTTGAGGCAGCACCTTAGAACTTGACGCAATTGTTGCTTTTTACTAGGGAAAATCGGTGAGTTAAAGGGAGATCAGTAACTCACAATGTTCGTGTTTTGGCACCATAAAAAATGAGGATGTTTCTATGTGAACGGCCATTGAAAACCTTTGTTACTACCTGGTCGTACTTACTGGACCATGAAGCTCTGGCCACACTGCATTGAGCACAAGCCCTATGACAACCACCAGGCCCTATCGACAGTCAGGAACAGCTAAATTCATTGTAAATAATTTAACTGTTAACTCAAAACCCATGTGACGGCTTTTCCGACTTGTGTAATGGTAGCTTCACCGGGAAAACAGGTACAGTGTTAGGTTTGAAGATTAAACTGTTTATGTGAATATTTTACTACCACACTTGTTTGTTGAGCTCCCTTTTTAACACCTACCCACTTTCAGTGGTATTTGCTATGAGTCATTACTATTATATCCCAAATCGTTCTCTTCCTTTCTCTGTAACGTCAGGTGTCCAGTAAAGAACCAACCTCTGTGTAATCCATATATAAAAAGCATCAAGAGGTAGCAGAAAGAACCCAGTGGATGCTCTAAGCAGAGACTGGACTGCCTGGCAGGTGGGTCCATAAGAATACAAATATTTTATTTTCTCTCACCATGTTCTTTACTCATTTAGTCCCTGTTCATTTTCTCACCCTGATTCATGTTTCTTTCTAGTTCCATCCATTCCCATTTGATGTTTTTGTGGTCCCTGCCATTGGTAACTGGACAGCAATGAAAACCACCTATGATTCAGACAGTGGCTTAACACACTTAATTCATGTTTATCTGGCATATTCATAGGGTAGCATCTTGAAGTGTAGAGGAACAAAAAAATACCATCTTAAGAGAATTGTGCTTTTTTGTCTCTCTCTCTCCCCGTTTTTCATGCTCCCTTGTCTTGCCTATGGTAATTCTTATTTCACCTCTTTGTCACTTGCAACCCAAGGAAGAAGGGAGAATCAGGCAGTTAAACAATGAAGAACAGATTTTGAAACCTTTTTTTATTATAAAGGAAATAAAGGGGGGGGTGGGACTTGCCCTATATCAGAGCATATTGGAAAACCATAAGATTAAATCTGCTTATTGTGATAAGTACAGATAATGGAGAGAATACAGAAACTGGGTGCATGGGAGGTCCATAAATGAGGAAGATGGCAATTCAGGTCAGTGGAAAACGTTAATAAACAGTGTTTGAACAATTAGTTACTTCTTTGAAAAAGAAATTAGATGTCTACCTCACACCATTTACAAATTGATATCCACACAGGGAGCTAATTTTTTTAAAGAACTCTGAATTTTTAAAACATAGGGAAACATGGGATAGGAAAGGACTTCAAAGAACAAGCCAAGAGCCATAAAGAAAAACATTTGACTATGTTAGAATTGACAGTGCTGATCGATAAAGCACAAGGATGAGCTGGCAGAAAAACTTGGAACCTGTATACCAGAAGCCTAATAGCCAAAATACATAAATAACACCTTAAATATAAAGAAAAAGATAGCTGTATAGAAAAGGGGGAGAAATTAACTGAGGCAGGAAGAAATGAATATGACCAAAAAAACCACAAATCCAGTAACTTAGGGAAGTGCAAGTTAAAATAAGATATATATTTTTCCCTCAAAAAAATTAGCAAAATTTTTACGGATTTATAATATCAAGGTTTGACAGAGGTGTGGAGAAACTCATGCACTACTAATGATAACATAAGTTAGTACGACTATTTTTGAGGGCCGTTTGTTAGTGCCTATTAAAATGTGCAGTGTGCATAGCCATTGACCGAGTAGTCTTCCTTCTTGGTACCCACCTTAAAGAAATGCTTGCACATATGCACTAAAAATAACTCCAAGAAGGTCCACTACAGCTTTGTCTATAACCAAGAAGTGAAACAATCTGCATGTATGTTGACAAGAAAATAAAGTATGGTATAAATTTTGTCACCATACAGCCATAGAAGAGCACAAAGTAGATATGTAGTCACATAAAAATAATAAGTAAAAAACTCAAGTTTCAGAATAATTATTAGATCATATATATTTTAAAATTATGTTTCTGTATGTATTAAAGTCTGGGCAATACCCAAAGAGAAAAGATTCAGCTAACTAATTGCAGGACCACAAGAGAGTCCATCATATTAAATCCTACAGAAATTAAAGGATAATTGGAGAACATGCTAAACTACTTTATGTTGATATATTGAAAAATAAGATGAACAAGTATGTTGAAGCACAAACTATCAAAGTTCACTTAAGGAAATAAAAAGAAAACTTAGTGGCCCTATATCAAAGAAACTGAATTTATAGTTAATCTTCTCACAAAGAAAACTCCAGACCTGATGACTTAATTGGTGAATTATACCAAGCACTTAAGGAAATATAGCCATATAATATAAGTTCTACACAAACTTTTCCAAGACAGAAGCGTAGAAGCAATTCCCAACTCATACTATAAGGCTAGCATTATTTAGTTAGCAAAACTAGACAAAAATATTACACAAAAAGAAAACTACAGTTCAATACCTACCATGAACAAAATTTTAGTAAATAAAATCTAGAGATATTTTTTTAAAAGGATAATACATCATGTCCAAGTTGGGTTTACCT